CAAGAGGGCCCAGGCAGGCCCCCAAGACGGCGTCCGACGGCGCCAGACAAGCCAGGAACGCCCTAAGACTGCCAAAGAGGCCCCCAAGAAGTCCCCAAAGGCCCCAACAAAAATCATCCAAGAGGACCCCAGGAAACTCCAGGAGGCCCCGAGAGTGCCCCAAGAGGCGCCCAAGAGGCCTCCTCCTCCTCGTCCTCCTCCTCCTCCCTCCTCCTCCTCCTCCTCCACATCCTCCTCCTCCTCCTCCTCCTCCTCCTCCTCCTCCTCCTCCTCCTCCTCCTCCTCTTCCTCCTCCTCCTCTTCCCCTCGCCCCCGCGCGGCCCCAAGGGATGACCCGAAGAAGCCTTCCAAGGCCACCCCCTTGCTCCCAGAGATCTCTCGGTTCATCCTGGTTGCTCGCGTTGTTTCCCGAGGTGTGTCCCTTCGTCCCTTTTCCCGTCAGCTCTCGTGGGCAGGGCTTCTGAATGGGCTGGCGGGGATATTTTTCTTCGCGGCGGCAGGCGAGCGCGCCAGCAGCGTCAGAGGTCGGGCGGGCTACGCGCGAACCGAATTGCCGAGCGCACGGGGACCGACGGCCGAACCTAGGCTGCCTAAGCTGCCTAAGCTGCCGGGCTGCCCGAGGGGGTGCCAGGAAGCGGGGCAGGGCTGGTGGGGATACGTTTTTTTGGTCGGCGGCCGCGCGACAACGGTCTGGCGGCGACATGCGATGTCCAGGACGGCGGTACAAAGCTAATTGCACACGAAGCGTGCGGCGCACGCGCGCTGAGCAAAATGCTCCCGTTCGCAAGCAGTCGCACCTAGGCGCCGCCCAATCCAGAGTGAACAAGCGGCCAGAGCGAGTGCTACGGAGGGAGTCGCCCTTGCTGCGCCGAGCTCCGAGCAGCTTCCCAGGCAAACAACGAGGCACAAGCCCGGGGGACAGGCTGCTGGCGGTGGAAAACAGGGGCCATCGGCGCTGAAGGCTGAACCATTCATCGCGCAGCCAACGAACTCCACAGCAGAGTTGTTGGGGCCAGCGGCAACCGACGGGCGGGCCGGCACCGGCGGAAAAGGCCCGGGAGGTGCGCCAGGGAAACGCGGGCAGAGGCAACACTCAGGCAGGGCAACCCGTCACAGTCACCCTCACTTCGGTGGGCCTCATCGACCATCCGAGTGCCACAGTGACGACCTGCTGCGAAAAGGCCCATCAATGCCAGCCGCGAATGTATGAAGCGATCTGTGGATACTGGTGGGGATTCGCGAAGCGTGAAGAAGTATCATCACCATTATCACCACCATAATAATCTTCATCACCAGAATCATCCACACCACTATCATCGTCAGTATCATGATCAACCCCATCACTATCATCGTCATCATCATCCTCACCAGCATCGTCATCCTCACCACCATAAGCATCATCATCACCATCACCATCACCATCGTTATCATCACCGACAGCATCCATCGTCATCGTCATCCCCATCCTCATCATCATTATCCTCATGCTCCTTCCCATCAGCATCCCCATCACCACTATAACCGTTATCAGCATCATTATCATGATCGCATCATCATCGCCATCAGTATCGTCGTCGTCATCATCATCAGCATCCCCATCCTTATCGTTAGACTCATGACAATCGCGATCAGTCATCTTCATTACCATCATCAGCATCATCTTCCATCCATCCATGATCATCAATGTCACCATCATATCATCATTGTCATCAGAATTCCCATCTCGATCGTCATCGTCATCCTCATCCTCAGAATCGTCATCATCACCACCGTAACCAACAGCATCATAATCATCGGCATCATCATCATCAGTATTGGCATCATCATCAGCAGCAGCACGGTTACCATATTCATCATGATCATCCCCATCCTCGTCGTTATCATCATCCTCGTCCGCATCATCATCACCGTCATAATGAGTATCATCATCATCACCATCAGCATCACCATCATC